CAATTACACAGAAAGAGATGGCCACACATCATTTTAGCTTCCCGGCTGAAGTATAATATGTCTCCATGTAGTAGTTGGCCAAATAATTCACATCACATCTCTATATCAAATTACCAATGCAGAGGAAGTGCAGGAGGACTGCAGAATTGCTGAACAAACTTCCATGGGAATGTAATTAACAACTCCTGAGTGTGGCAAATCCTACAGTACAAACACACTGGGTTCTTCAACCAATGGATTATAAGGGTGGAGAGGGAACGGGATGGGGCGACACCCAGAGACCAAAGGACTGTTTGGAAACATATCAGTTATTATAATGTGTGAACCTTATTTCAGTCTGATGCAAAAACATGACAACCACAACCACAACCACAGCAAAAATATGAGATACTTGGCAGCCAGACCAGGAAGAGAAGAACACTGACTCAAAATGTCATCTGTTGTCAATTATTTTTCAGTGGAACAAAAGAGTTGTGGCTGTGCATTGTTTTTTTGAAAAATAAAAAAAATCCTTATCTTTTAGAGATACATACTGAAACATTTAGAGTTCCAAAATAATCTAAGAGAGTAAATGTAGAAAAGAAAAAAATAATACTGACCACAAGTTGGTAAAAGTCTCTGGAGAATAGGTAAGGTACCTAGGGGTTCATTATACAATTCTGTCGACTCTTGCAAATGTTTGAAATTTTTCAAAACAATTTTTATGAAAATAGAATGATTCAGAAGGCACATTGCCTCTCCTTCGAACACAGACCTTAAATACCTCTGAGGTTTGTAGCCAGGTTGATTACAAAAATGTGCTAAGAAGAAAGTACTGTCATTGAGGAGAAGAACGAGTTTGTTCCTGAGCATATTGGATTTGAGGCATTAGGGGAGCATTCATGAGAAGAATTCAATCAGCTGTTGGAAAGGTTGATATATACAGCATGGGAGAAAATTGGTATTAAGGAATCACCAGGTTAATGTTTATAGCAGCACAGTTCACAATAGCCAAACTACTACGGAGCCAGCCTATGTGCCCATCAATGGATGAGTGGACAAAGAAAATGTGGTATATATACACAATGGAGTTTTATTCAGCCATAAAGAAGAATGAAATGGTGTCATTTGTGGGAAAGTAGATGGAACTAGAGACCACTATGTTAAGCAAAATGAGTCAAACTCAGAAGGTCAAGGATTTGTATGTTTTCTCTCATTTGTGAAGCCAGTCTGGAAAAAGGGAAAGGAGTGGGGGTCTCACAAAAATCAAAGGGAGAGCCATAGAGGATAGGGACCAAAAGTTGGGAGGTGAGGAGGGAAGAGGGAAGTATTAAAGAATTATATTGTTATCAAATATGTATGATTTTGTATAATTATAATGTGCTAGCAAAAATGTGGAAGAAAAAAATTAAATATACATAAATACAGGCATGTAAAAATAAAATGAATTAGCATGTTAGATAACTTATATTGTCCATATTAATAGAACACATTCAAAAAGGACCAACAATTAATTAAATGTTAATTGTAAAAGTAAGTATCATAGTACACTGTTTTCTGATGTAGCCTAAGAAAGAGCATATAGGTGCATGCTGGGTTCTATAAAATCCCATATGTCATAGCAAAGAATCCTCAACTGTTGTATAAGTCAGGATGAGTCTCCCAAATCACATGCTGAAATCCTAAACCCCAATGTGAATTTAAGGAGATTAAGTACAAGGTTAAGGATGGAGCCCTAATCTAATAGGACTGGTGTCCTTATAAGAGGAAACAACCCCAGACATGAAGACACAGTGAGAAGGCACCATCTCCTCTCACCAAGGAGAGAGATCTTACTAGAAATTAACTTGCTGGCACCTTGATCTTGAACTTCTAGCCTCCAGAACCGTGAGAAATAAATTTTTGTTATGGAAGCCACCTGGTCTTCCGATCTAGTTCTGGCCCCCCAAGCAGACTAGAACAAGCACTAATGACTGTCACAACCCCAGTGGTTGTACTCCAGTCTGAATAATTCACTAAACATTGTACGTCTTTGTTAGAGCTCCACGGTGTTACCGGGAGGATTAGATGATCTATCCAATTAAATGAACCTGGTAAAAACAAATAAAATTGCATGTAAATAAAGGCTTCATTTTTAAAAAGACTTAGGTCATCATTAATAGTAAATCATGTTCCTGAAACACCTACCAATGAAAAATAAGTGAAGAAAAGGACTCCCAAACACAATCCACAGGATTGTCAAGAACTCCTGCTCTTGTTTCCTCCTTCTCATTTATCCCTGAAACATCTCCGGAGACAACTCTGGGCAAGGACCCTGCTGGTCATCATGGCAGAACCTCTGAATGTTCTTGCTCAAATCAAAGATAGGAGCCATGCAACAGTAAGCATGGCAAAAGGTGACATGTTCAGTAAGAGAGATGAGGAAGAAATTGTCCCAACGGCAGTTCAAAGGGACAGGAAGCCGGGGAGCATTTGAAATAGGCCTCAATCATTTGGACATTGGGAGGATTTGGACACTGGTAGGTAAGAGGCAAAGAAATGCCAGGCAGAAGAAGCAGGGGTCAGGTGCAGGAAAGTTCCTGCTCTTGAAGAAGCAATACTTCTTGAGCTGCTCCTTCAGGTGCTCCTGTCAAAGTACCCAAGATGTCTGGAACATGAAGGGAAGAAAAGAGACACATTGTTCACAAAATTGCACATTTCTACCTGTTAAATAAAGAAGTAATTAAGGAGCCTATCCTGAGAAAAATGCCTTTTGTTTACATGACTCAGAACAAATTACTGTGTGGTAACAATAGAACCAGCCAGGGAATTGCCCCTTCCCTGCCATAGACTGAGGACACAGCTTTCTTGTTA